TGTGTGTGTGTGTGTGCTTGACAGGAAATTCATCATAACTCCTGTTCCTCTGAACCTAGAAGATCAAAGTAGCAGTACGAGGAACAGGATAAGAACACTCATGGCAGGTAGCAGGTCAGGCTCCGCCCATGTGCTGGGGCGTGCGCGATAAAAAAATTTACCACAAGTTCATGACTCTTGTTTGCGTGGACCTAGAGCGTTGAACTTTGGTAGGAGTACAGGGGGTGTGGCGCGATTCACGCGACAGTATAATGAAGTCATCGTCATCAATAATTTGAAGTTATTCTTACTTCAAACGTTTAACGTAAATTGTTGACTTATGAAGTTCTTAATCTCGGAGGGACTTCATTGTTGACCTATGAAGTGAATTCTTGATCTCGAAGGGGCTTCATTGCCATAAAAAGGATATGCTCCAATTCATGCTGTAGCTGTGGACTACTGCAAATCTTATTTGAACCATCTCGACAGAAGGGTACTGAAGCGCTGTTGCGTGCGCGAAGAGCGTGCTATCTATTTCCACACCCCTCTCGGTCTGCAATTACTATTACTGATTACTATGACTATTTGCAACTACCGTAAATTGGGGAATGGAACGTACGTGCGTCCGAGGATGCGCGCGGCACTTTGCGAAGGGCATCGCGATTTGAACGACCTTAACGCCCATCATTGGGTCCCAAATTTGAAGTAGAGTAGATCAGTAGGATCGGCTGACGCCATTAATCTACTGTAATTCAAGTGTGTGCCCCAATAATCGGCACCAGAGTTGTTCGTATCGTCACGAACTTCGCCGTGCAATTCGCCGCGCTCATCCTCGGACGCATGAGCTCATATCCCCTTAAATTCAGGTTTACTTTTATCCAGTTTCTAGACTGACCAAAATGTTTCGCATGGAGATTATATGAATAAATTCGCTCCTTTTTCAGCCTCCAGCTTTTCACTACTTTTTTTTTTGATATTGGTTGTCCAGTTTGCTTTTATTCTTCTGTATTTCTTCTTTTAACTATTCTTTTTGGTCATTTATTAACTGTGCATCTATAAAATGCGCTTAGTTATATCAAATTCCGTAGGCTGGCGAGTGTGATCGCGTGGTATCTCATATGAATGGATTCGCTCCCCATCAGCTTTTCACAACTTTTTTTTAGTGTTGACTGTCGAATTCATCTTCATGTTGAGTTTTCCTTCATCATTTCTTCTTTTACGTCTCCATTTTGATCGTTTCTCAACATCTATAAAATGAGCCAATGCACGTTTAGTTCCAATTTGCATCACTTCGCACCTCCAACAATTGCCTTTTCAGTTGAACTGTAATCGATCCTATGAATTAGAAATTCGAATTTCGTCGCATTCTGGAGTAATGAGAAGGAACAAAAAACATCTTAAGACCACTCGTTGTTAAAGTCAAAATGTTTTGCTTTCTCAGACGAGGTTGGCAGTATTCAACTGCCAACCTCGTCTGAGAAATCCCGATGACCATGACCTGATGGCAGGCACAGTTAGGCTTTCTAGACCTAATAAGATGAAACAGAAATATCCTACTATATATAATTCGCTAAGTGTGTCTGTTGGTTTGTCGGTGTGTTGTGTGTGTGTCGATGTGTGTCTGACCGGAAATTCATAACTCCTATCCCCGCGGACTTGGAGCGTTCAAATTTGGTAGGAGTAAGGCGGGCAGGACGGTAACACCTTTGGTAGGTGGCAGGACCGGAATCCTGCACAGGGGGCGGGGTTTTGCGCCGAAATAGTCATTCTGGCCCTAGGGCATTCAACTTGGCCGGAGTGCAGGCGGCTGAATGGGGGCATTCATCGTAGATGGGAGGATCGGACCCCGCACATGGAAGGCGAGATTTGCGCCGAAACCCTCAGTTTGGCTCTAGGACGTTCAAATTGGTAGGATGCAGGCGGCAGTATGGGAACACTTATGGTGAATAGTAGGGCCGGACTCCTTCCCCAAGGGACGGGTTTCCGCGAAATGAATGAGTGGAAATCCATAACTCATGATCCCATGGAATTGGAGAGCAAAATCAATAGGGGGAGGCAGGACGGGAATACTGACAACAGAAGAGGCCTTAGAGAAGAAGATCCACTCACCAATTAACTCCTAACGCCTTTGTTATTTACGATCTAGCTTTGACTTCTTGATNCACCATGTATAGTAAAAATCTCTTTACTATGGCAATGAAGCCCTTGGAGATAAAGTATTCCTAAGTCGGCAACTTACTTGTCAANTTTGCAACAAAACTAACCGACCGCCAACTATCTGGAATTCTTGACTAATGATATCTCTGTAAAGGGAAATATCAATTGATAACATCTGATAATAGTCTTATCATCACTCGAAACATTTGTGAGTACCGTCCAAGGCTTTGGTTACCTGACAGTTGAATCCTTGATGACTTGATTTCAAGAAAAAGAGCAAAGGATCAAGACTTCCAATTGAAGTCGTAAGCACCGACTTACACTGAATATCGTTTGCACTATTCTGTTAGTTCTGTGTCGAACTTCGTGTACAGGGAAATACTATTCGCTTCAAAGAAGATTGGAGAGTTGGCCGATTATTAGAACTTCCCGCCGGCGGGAAGTCCGGCGCTAGCCGACCCGACTGATGAGTAAAAAAACACTGTTAACAGCAAAAATAGCCCGCCTTTTTCATCCGCTTGAGATAGAAAACTAGATAAAGGACCGCAGCAGGAAGGAGAGTAACGGATAGTAATGGAATAGGAATCTCTCAGAGCGCAGGGGCCCACTGACCGACCGACCAACGGTGTTGGTGGCTACGTGCTGAGAACACTGGTCCATCCATCGACGTCCAGCGTTGTCAACACATAACCAGCAACACCATGGGTCGGTGGGTCGGTCGGTCGTTGCGGGGGCGCGCGATTCACACGTGACCCTGTCAGAGCTCTTAACGGACGCAGTACGCGGCAGATTACGTACATTCGATGCGACCGCTTCACCACCCTCCAGTTGTTGAGATGTACCAAATGAGTTGTGCACTAGTCTATGGCTTTACACCATGTATAGTAAAAATCTCTTTACTATGGCAATGAGGCCTTTGAGATAAAGTATTCCTAAGTCGGCAACTTACTTGTCAATCGTTTAAAATATTTTTAACCTCAAAATGTTTCAAGCTTGGTGAGCGGAGTCCTTCTGTGAACGTGCATAGTTCATCTTTTTTTTACTTCTCTTTTATTAGTTCCTACTTCTCCCATTATAATGGCAAGCATGTTGTTATAGCGCCTCTCGTCCACGGGTCCGCGTCGCTGTAGGCCCCGCCCTTCACGCGAGATGACCACTTTATATTGACGCATGAATCGCACCACACCCGTCGTTGAACTCTGAGCGCGCCCATTTAGAAGAATCGAGTATGCCAAATCGAGGGATACCATCGTAGAATCAAAGTCTCTTAGGGGAAGTAGCATTTTCATTGTAGTCGTTCGCCAAAGTAATACCAAGTACAGTTCTTGTAGAAGGCAGTAGGTAGCACTACAGTGTGAAATACCGCTTGGACTTTACATATCCACAGCGATGGCAGTGGATATGTAAAAAAGTGATCGGTGCGTTTCCTATGATTTTTTCTGTTCAGGGTCCCTTACAAACCTCCATATTGGACATCGGCTTTTCTCTCACTTCAATATGGCATTGATAGTAACTTTATCGAGGTTGACTTGCTAAAAAACTTAGAGATTACCTATTTTTATATGTTCTTTTGGTCGGCGTTTCGTTCAGGCTTCCTCTGCGAACATCACCATTCCACCAAAACTGCGGCTAAGACGAATGCCTCTGGGATCGTACAGTTTAAATGGACTTGCAGTTTTCCTAGCAATTTCTTCGTATGCGTGGGGGCTTTGCGTTTTTATACTGGTCATCCATACAGCAAGAGAGATAGTCAGTGAAAAGAGCACGGTAAAGGTATGTGGTAAGCACGATGATCATTTTGAGAATGTTTTCGATATTCTATAAGCTCACTTAGGAATATCTATCTGTAATGGGTCTTTCGGCTCCCGTGTTTTATCTCTCGCATGTGCTTTATGCCACCGGGAAATGTTTTATCATCTTCTTGATATGCGTTACTCCTATTATCTTTCATCTAGAAGTAAGTCTGTGCTAATGCTTACAAACTTATTGTTGGTTTTTCATCTCTTCTCCTATTTGTTTCATTGTTTTCCTCTACAAGAGGAAACGGTATATTGACGCATACCTGAGAAGAACGGGTATTCATTTGCTTTTCATGTTATAATTCAATTTTTGAGTCGTAGCACCTATGCGACTTCTACCGCTTGTGGTTGGCTGTTGCTAGCTCGAGGCTTCTGCTCGACAGATAAGATTGGGCGTTCTGTTGTTGGAAATGTTGTTAATCTCCATGTTCGCCTTTCTTTAAACCTGGGCATCTAATCAGTTGTGTTGATGGCCGACCGATCGCATTTCATGGTTCCTCAATAAAATCATCGGTCAACTCCTGGTCCATATACCATCACACCTGTCGAATACGGGACAGTTCTTGGATCGCTTACGTACTTGCAGACTTCAACGCGACTGTGTTTTTGAGTCATTTGACGTGTCTGCGCTCTACACCAACGTTAGCAACGACGAAGCTTTACAAGCAGTTTCAGAAATGCTTGACCAGCACGAAAGAAGTGTGTTGACGTTCGGATTGAGCAAGGCACAAATAGTGGCTCTCATCAAGGAGTGCTTGAACTGCAATATATTCAAGTGGTCCGGTAGATATTTTTCGCAGATAAGAGGGCTTGCAATGGGACAGCGGCTAGCACCGGTTCTCGCTGTCTGCTTTATGAGTAGAATCGAACAACCAGTGCTAGCACGCTTACCCATCATGTACTGCCGCTACATTGACGACTGTTTCGTCATAACATCAACTCAGTCAGAAATGGATGAGTGNAATCCAGAAGGTTAGCACACCAAATAGCTAATCTGAATGGATACACAACTCGGCAGCATGGCTCACGAGGCAGATCAAGGCCTTTTCCAAATGGAACTGAAGATAAGATGTATCTTCAATTACCATTCATATCAGATCGATCCAGCGCAGTTATTCAGCAATGCCTGGAAAGAGCGGATCTAGCCAATGACGTTTTCTTGGTGAACACACCGAGAGAAAACATCAAACACCAGTTTGTTAGAAATCGTCTCTACGACCGGATTTGCATCATGGATAACTGCGTGATCTGCCCATATGGAAAAGTAGGAGACTGTGCACAAAGAGCTGGTTTACCAACTTCAGTGTTTAGCTTGTGATGCTTGCTATATTGGAGAAACTGGGAGACAGCTATGCGTTCGTGTGAAATAACATCTAGCCAGCAAACGAAGGTCTTGCTCGATTGCACCGCTTGGGAAGCACAGAAGGGAAGGTCATGCTAGTTGTGACTTTGACGTTAAGTGCACGATTCTAGCCCACGAGGACAGTATTGGCGCCAGAAAAACTCTTGAGGTATTCTGGATAATACACAGGAATCCGAGCATGAATAACAAGAATGAGTGCATCAATATAACTGGTGACCTCTTGCCATACATCCCTCTGTGTGAGCTTTGATAGTGAAACTGATACGCGTCACGTCGCGATTCTATAAATAGGTCGTGGTTGACCGGGCTGTCTCAATTGCTCTATCATCACAAAACTTGAGCAACTGTTCGGTATTGGTGGAACTGACGTGAGTGACTTATCGGAGTTTTTTATTAGTTGTAAGTTCGTCAGCCTGAGTTGCAACTAGTCAGAAGCTGGTCTACGTCAAGCGTGATAGGTAAAACTATAAAATTGGGATACGCTTTCAGGCCTTCGATAACGACGAGATAGTCGAAACGTCAGGCGAATAAAGATTTCACCATTAAAAACCTGTATGGCACAGAAGAGTTGACAAATAACAGGAAATGTTGTTTTCTGCCCCTGTCTGAATGAAAGCGACAAAGTTGGACAGATCATTCGCTGTAGTTTCTGTTGAGAAATTTGCCATATTTTACTCTTGCTAATTGTACGGAAGCTGCAAATGTAAAAAAGGTAAGCGCTGCAATAGGCGTTCAAGTGAGCATTGCCGGTGGTGGCCCCCAAGCAACTTCTAGCCTCTTAGAGGGTTTGTTTGATGAAAATGAGAGATCTCCTCTAGCTGTAATTTGCAATTTGAGGATCCCCTTTGTGAAGTTTCTTTGTAATCTTTTTCTTTCAGCCTTTAAGCGTCTCACTATTTCTCGTCACTATAACACTGTATGGAGTATCGGCGGTCGTTTTTGCTGCGCTTATATCCTCGCTGTTCAAGAGGCCGAACACTGTTCTCAAAGGTTTATTCTGCTTATTTCGGTGGTTCTTTTTTCCTTGTGAAGTCCGTTATGACCAACGAACACCTCTAAATAGCAGTTCATTCCATTCCAATTATTCGGCTTACCCAGAATGAAACCTGAGATTATGTTGCCTCTATAGGCCACTTTCATAGCCCGCCAAAGACAATGTACGGCGGTATATGAATGATCATTGTTGATCTGTTGCGATTTACGTGGTTTCAATGCGGTGACAAAAGTGGCGCTACTCACCTTCCCCCTTCGCTCTTTCACTCACTCCCCTCTTTACACTACCTGCACAAAATGCAATAGAGTGTTGATTTGGATGGGCTTCTCGCGTTTTGTCGCAGTTTTCAGAGTCAGCAGCCTGAATGAAAATGGACTGCTTAGTCATATGCTAGAAGTGCTAGGATACGATTTACTTAGAAGCTGTCAAGTAGAATTGCAACAAAGAACCACTTCAGACTTCTTCAGAAGCGCAAAATAAAACGAGGAATCCGACAGGTTAATTCATCGCGATATGCTTCATAATGGTTTTAAGGATGCACGAATGGGTCACCTACCTGTAGTCAGTCGGCCGCAGTTTTACTCGACAGCTCTGATTGCAGTCAGGACCCTTTCACGTTATATAGCAAACTTCTTAGGCTTGAACGAAATATGCAATCGAACTTCAAAACACTAAAATTTAGCTATTCCAAAATCAGACTTTTCAAATTATAAGCTACCATCTCCCCTATGAACTTCCTTCAAGGGTAAACTATTAGGTTGAGTAAAAAGTTTTGATCGGTTTTTCATCTTCATTTCAAAAAGTCTTACTTTCATTAAAAGAGGATCTCCACTAGTAATATAGTCTCCAGAGTGGTCCACAACATATGTCCAGCGATCCACCAGTTTTTCGATTCCTGAAGCCCAGAACTGTGGCGGCCGCGATTCGGAAAAGCTGGAAATCTCAGTTTCGAGTTCCGAGCGATAATCAAATTTTCTGTCGCGAAGATGATCTTTAAAGCAAGAAAAATATGGTAATCGGACGGAGCAAGATCTGGCGAATAAGGAGGATGGGGCAGCACTTCCCATCCAAGTTCGGCAATTTTCTGACGAGACAATTTTTCAACATGCGGTCGAGCATTGTCATGAAGACGACAAACATTTCTTTGCTGCGGACGCTTCCTTCAAATGACGTCGGCCACACACTGTAGCTGAGAAGCGTGAATCTCGGCGGTTACCCTCAGGCAGTAATTCGAAATAGAGCATGACTCGATAATTCCACCAACAACATAGCAAAACCTTCCTCTCATGTTGTCCATTTCTCGGCTGTCTTGGAGGTGGGTCCTCATTGGGCATCCATTGGCGATGTCGCTTATGGTTCAAAGGCACCGTTCGCGATGATTCAATGGGCGGGTGGGTCGATGACGTNCCCGCCCATTGAATCACCGCCAACGGTGCCTTCAAGTGAAGGACCCAGCTCTCGTCTCCAGTAATGATCTCCATGAGAAAGTCTCTCCTATGTTGACGGTGATTATGCGGTTCCTTACTTTCAATTAGTCGTTAAATGGGTGTGGGTACTTCTTCTGTAAGGCGCGTCGCGCTCGTTCCACCTGATCGCGGCAATCGACCAACGGTGTACCGTGGGTTGAGACACGATGTCTTCTCTGAATGCACAACAGAATTTGCGACAGCCGACGATGGATTTTGGCCTTGCAGGAATTCGTAAAAGATGATAGCTCTCAGACAGCTTCGGTTGACAGGGGTCATTATTGCGAAACATTTGCAAGGACATGCTTATATATGCCCCCACAGTGCAGGTCCGGTAACCATCTACCATATCCTATTCAAATCCTTCCAAGTGGTCCTACAAAAGAATCAAGAGAAGGATGAAAATTCCGATCAAAACTTTTTACTCAACCTAATATAATACAAAACAACTAAAATTTAGCTTTGAACGAGTTTATGACCGAAAAAAGCGCGCAGCAGCTTTCTTTCGTGATTATGCGGTTCCTTACTTTCAATTAGTCGTTAAATGGGTGTGGGTACTTCTTCTGTAAGGCGCGTCGCGCTCGTTCCACCTGATCGCGGCAATCGTGCCCTATGAGGAAAAGGTTTGAATTCCCAGTGGATGAATAGAGTGGCCACCGCGCATCCCACTTGCCGTGTTAATTAGGAAAAGGAACGATCTCCCTCGCTAAAGGCACAGTTCACGATAATTTTGGGTAATCTAAATTATGACGAAAAATGAAAAATAAGATGGAAAATAGTGCTATGAATGCGAAGAAACTGTGTGTATCGGTGTTCACAAAGTGAAGAAAGGCTTCGATGAGTCATTAAAAAAGGGGCTGGACGAGAATGAAACCAGAAAATTGAACAAGAATAGGACGTTTGGACGGGCTAAAAAACGTGTGTCATTGCGTACGTGTGGGTCCTGGTGTAAATGGTTGACTACGGTAAGCAAAATTCATACACTCATAAGCATAAGTCAACAACAAAATCCAGTAACAGCGAAAGTAGCCCTTCTTTTTTACTTGGGGTCGATCATTAAATAAAGAATCGCAGCAGCAAAGAGAATAACAGAGAAAAAAGAGTGCGAAAAAAACATCGCCTCATTACTTGACGTACTGATACAGAACGAGGGTCGAGGCGATACAGATATTGTGATCTGTAGCGCCTCGACGCTCGTCTGAGGTAACATTGAGAGAAGGGCGGGGAGTTCGGGCGATCCGGTAACGGGGCTCCCACTACATATGCCCTAGCTGTTGAGTTTTTGGACTCGACAGCGTCCTTCCTGTTACCCTTGGAGACCACTTGGTATTTCTAGGGGAAGACTCAGAAACCATTTTTATCGTGAAATGTGCCTTTGATCACTATCGCTGAGCACGGGTATTAATCACCACTTTCATGACACTTGCGTCGCCGTCGACGCCGTCGAATATGGAATGTAAGGGATGTGGCAGATTATGTGAGAAAGCAAGGCGCGTTGCAGTGGCGTAAAAATTTCTTTATATGGTCAAATGAATTTGACGATCTGGCAGAAAAAAAACCAACTACTATTTTGAAATGGTGTAGTGTAATCTGAAACGTCAGTGTAATGTTTCCTCTACATGATATTTTAGTGGTAATCGTATTGTGGGTAATATTGGTTGCGGCACGTTCTATAGCTCCACGGGTCGACAAGATTCTGTTCTGCGCCCTCTACTCACTGAACCCGAATGCGGCTCTCTACTATATTCTTAAGGCATTTGCCGAATACAAACATAGCGGCAAGTAAATTAACTATGCTTGAAATGTGCCCATTTGAATGTGGCCATAATTTTAGAAGTCGAGTTGTCGTGGGCTAAGAGCTTTGAAGGTTCCACACTCCGTTTCACCCCTGGGGCCGCGCTGGTAATGCTGCTAGTGGATATCATCTGGATGGGCATGGCAACGCTGCTGTTTGATTTCATGTTCAGTGATAGCGACTTCACGCTTTTCAAACTACCGTACCGCAAGAAGGTTGTTTCACGTTATTGTTTTGTTGCCTTTTCAATGTTCCTTCCGAACCACCCTGTTCGATCTATACTCTTTCAATACTCTCACTCCATCATTATTTTCAGTTCCTGGGTGAGTCTGTCATTAGTCCGGAACAGAATGATAGTAAAAAGGAGATCGACGAAGGATTGTTAAAAACACAAGCAGGCATATCGGTGCAGCGTCTTGTCAAGGTCAGGCTTTGTATTTCGTAACATATTGAACATCAAATTTCCTCTGAAGTTCCTTTTTCAAACAACTTTTTAAGATCAGTCTGGAAATGCTTAGTAAAGTTTGGGAATTTCGGCTTGGCTTTTTTTTCTCTGATGGTTCGGCAATAAGCAATAAGTCAATGTTTCCTCATTTCAGTAATGATCACTGGTGCAGGAATGTTCTGGAAGTCTTCGTTGAAAACTTTAAAAATAAACTACTCACTTTTGTATGCGCATAACATTTCAAGATTTAATGGGTTACACTCGCTTGTTCAGAGGAGGCTCATGCTCGACTATTTTCTTTAAGTCTCACTGAGATGGAACGGCTTGCAAAGAATTGTCAAAAGAGTGTTTGAGGTCAAAAATTTTACACGTTTAGTTCCGATCTTCAGCAACGGAGTAGTTGGACTATCGAGAATGGTAAATATTTCAGCTGTTTTAGGACATTATAAATGAGGAAGATCGAGCCGACTATGTCATGCGCATACAAGCGGGTAGTGTTCTGACACAGTGCTTTGCTCTACCATACCAATCATTTGACCGAAAACATCACATGAAGGCACGGTCCCCGATAGAAATGGTTCATGAGATTTCCCACTAGAATGAAACCATGGCTTCAAAAATAGTGCATGGGGCCGTTGTCGGACTGAAGGCTTAGGCAATACGTAATAAGGGCTGTCGGTTTGGCCGACACGCACACTGTAGGTGGCCGTGTTGGACGGGCCCTATTATAACTACACTGTTCATGTGACGAAACGAATATTACGCTCATGTGAGAAACACTCAGACGGCCATCTCGTACAACCCCTTACCTTGCTTCTTTCTTTGAAAGTCTTCTATTTTTAAAAGCCACCAATTTCCCTTTACTTAAAGGCACACTTCGCGATAAATATGTTTTCTTAGATCTCCCTTCAGAACTACTCAGTGGCTACTCAAGGGTAACAGAAAGGACGCTGTAAGACCCGAAAATTCATGAGCTTGGGCACAATAGGAGCCCCATTATCTGACCGGTCGGATGCCACGCACATCAACCGGACCCGTCAGAAAAATTGTGAAGGCGATACAATTTGCAATATTCGCACCCCGACCCACTCGTTCAGTATACAATCAGCTGAGCGCCGGGCGGTGAGGAAGTTTCGCTCCGATTCTTTTATTCTTTGTTGTTCTTTTTGCTGATAGTCATTCTTCAGATTTTCTGCATGCTTATCTGCAGCAGAATTTACACAATGCAGGTACAATTGTACGGGATGAAATTCTATTGTTTAGCAGCAATATAGTCAGTTGCACGCAATTGCACACATCTCAGAGAGCATTTGCCCAATCACCCCTTCCACGGCATACCGTGCTATACCTACAGTCCCATCATTAGTTCATTTACAATGTGAGTGAGGCATCTCATGAAAACGGTGTCATTTTATGCTTTTTACTGGGATCCAGCCCCATTGTCGATCTGTCATACTTGCTGACAGCTTTCCAGGGCTGCAGAATAGCGCTTCTTCATGTATCTGTGATCGCATCTTTCAGCTAGTCGATTGGAGGAAAAGTGGTTGCAATACAGTAAATCTGTCAGACTAAAATAACCGATGAATTTTTCAGAGGATTCTGATTAGAACTTCACGGATGCCACTGCATGAGGTAGATTTGTGCTGTTGGAACCCTACCAATATTGATATGACAGCAGTGACACTTGCACTATCTTACTGGAAGGCTAGCTTCTACCGTCGCCACCACTCTCGGTGAATGGGTAGCAGTAATAATAACTCGCCAACCTGGTCCTCTCATGGATCCATTCGACAAAAACGAAGGCTGGCTTCATCCTTCTGTTCTGAGAGCACGCCCTCCAAACTAAGTTGCACTGGTCTTTTCTCAATTTTCGACAGTAGCGTCGAAAGCCAAGGGCACACTCAAGTTGAACTCCTCGTCGGAAAGGCTCGCTTCATAATTTTTCTCTTGATGTTGCTGTTGCGCTAAATTGCCCTCCAGACTGTCGATTTTGCGGCAAGTAGCCTCAAGTTTGTCTGTGACACGCCCCTGCACTTGGCATTCATTCAGAAACATACTTGCGTTTTGAATGCGCATGTGGACCAGACAACATCTTGCAGTGGAGAGTCGATGTACATGTCAGTGCTTTTACTCTAGCTGCTTCCGTAGTCCACGATTTGGCCCGCGACCGGTCGCGGGCCAAATCGTGGATTATGAAAGCAGCTTCTAACCGACTACTAATACTAATCAACCGACACAGGAGAGTAGGTAGGCTTAATGGACCGAGCGTTTTTCATTCCGGAACTCAATCTCCACGCATGTGATATTGCACCTTTCATTAAACACTTCGTAACCACCCGAACTTGGCTTTTCCATCCATTTCGCTATTGCAGAGTGTAGTATTCCGGAGACCTACCTGTGTGTCAGCTAGAATTTTCTTGTCGCTTAAAATTCTTTTCACATCTCGGTAAATCCCCTTACCCTTTTGCGACCCCAGCCCATGTTCATTCCGAAGTGATGCGCCCGTCACTCCGTCCGGTGTCTGCTAATGTTCCAATAAATTTTCTTTTACTGGCTTGCTGAAACAAGCAATATCTCCAGCATGATAGAAGAATCAAGATCTCATTCTGTCTATAATCCATAATTGAGGTTCCAAAGTGTGGTTTGGATTTGTGTGCAGTGAAGGATGATTTTTTGAAATAATGAAAAATCGTACATCATTCGAGGTCCTTCAAAATCAGTTTACACCTTCGCGGCTGCCGTGCTGAAAATGAGAGGTCGGACGGTCATATGATCACAAATTAGGGCTCTTACTGTCTGTAACGCTCCTGGCGTGTACACAAATCTTGCAGTCAAGGTTCACGATAATTTTGGGATATCTATTATATAATAGTTCTAGACGAATAAGTGGGTAGCCCGAGTAGTGCAAAAAAGGTGGAGAGACCGCAAAAATTGGTGTATGTAGAAAGATATAAGGCTTCAAAAAGAGGAAGTGAATCTATGGGTTCGACGAGAGCGTGGCAACGGAAGTTGCGTGGAAGGGACGTTTGGCCGAGCTGTTAAATGTGCACGCAACTGCATACAGTTGGCTGCAGTAAGATGCCTGCGTGCAAGGTCTTGGTCCCGGTGCAAACCTACAGCTTTTACAACGCTTAGGAATCCGTCCGCTCAGGTGTGTACATCGGCTGAGCCAGTTTTGGGGTCCTTATTATGCCCTCTTGCTCGTTTTTCGACCCGACAGCGACTCCTAGTCTATCTTCGAAGGTCACAGGATCATATAAAGGAGAAATCATAAAACACTTTCTCAACGGGAACTGTGTCTTTGAGCAGTGTTTTTGGTGAAGTTAGGGTTGGGCAAGTATTAGCGAGACTGTGTAATATTTCTACGGAAACTTTCAGATTTTATAAGATTGCACACTTACATAGGTTGCCTTCTATGTTTCGGGATTAGAGGTCAAAAATTAATATTGATCATTGAAAATCGCTTGTTTGTTTTTCAAAATGTGTATACATCTATACACTTTTGCGTACGTTTGGACTAATTGTCTTTTTTTGCTTTTGCCACTCTGATTGAGGTATCTCCAAAAAATGCATTCTGAACGAGTCAACGGCTCCTTCAGATGTCGAAAAACGTTCACCTCCCATTTTATTTTTCATTTACGGGATAAGAAGAAGTCACCCGGGACTATATGGCTGATGACTCATCAAATCGCTNTTTCTTGATTTTTTGAAAGACATCTGGCAAAGTTGTATACCGCTCAGAATTGACTGTTCTGCTTGTTCTAGTGGTACGGTTGCGACATGTCCTGTTTTCCCACTTGCTTGGAAGTGCTTCGTGCGCGGACAGTTTTTGTTGGATTTGACTCATCTTGAAATACTCATATAGCCGACTGCTCTTTACTTTCGGGCTCATACGCGAAAAGCCATGATCCATCACCTGTCGCGATGTCATAGACGTGTTTCGAAGCACCGCGATCGTATTTTTGAACACTTCTTTCGACCAATCGACACGGGCCCTTTTTTGAGGAATTATCAAATTTTGTGAACAAAAGTTTCTTACAGTCAAATGTTCAGGCAATATTTAATGTATGCTGGTCCCTTTATTGCCTGAGGTTGTCCCAGTGTCACGATAGGTCACATGGCGACCTTGCAATATTAGTTTGCGTACAGCATCGGAACAACAACTAATTTTGGACGACCTCAACGAAATTCGTCTTGAAGTGAACTAATACCTCGGTTGAATTCACCATACCATCGACAAGACCTGGTCTTTGATGGAGCTTCGTTGCCAAAGGGGAGGGGGAGGTAAAGGGGAAAGAAGGTTTGACCTAAGTGGGGGATGGGGACGCAAAGGACCTGAGTGCATTTTTTAAGTTAGTGTAAACAACACAAAGAGCTGTCAAAACGTTCTGAGTACGTATAACCTCGAAAATGTCAAACTTTACGATAGAGCTGTTATTTGCCGGATTGCAACACCAGGGTTGCTCAGTCCTGAAATAAGGCATATCGTATGAGTATGAGCGGTTTTTTAGATTTGGACTTCAACAGGAGAGCGCGCTGTTGACGGTATGTCGTTGGAAGCGTATACTGGGCAGGTAGGCATGCTTTTTAAAGTCTGGGGATGCGCTCGAAATTTGCCGTCGCACAGGGTAGTTTTTTTTGCACCATAATCTAAGTAACTGAGTGACGTCGATGGGGTGATGTAGTAATTCTTGGTAGGCGTATTCGCCTGTTTTTCAACAATATCGTTAAGGTCACTGTACTTCTTGGGCAAAATGGCGCTGGTAAAAGTACCACATTCTCAATAATATGTGGAATCACGGCTCCTACAGCAGGTACCTTACTAGGAAGTGAATCCAGAGCAGAGCACTATGCCTTCTCAGCCTCCTTTTGAGAGGAGTGGTCTCTCGGGAATCCCTTCGCATTATGAAAAGACACTCCCTTCGATGGCAACACTGTTCTAGAAGAACTCCCGTCCGGTTGTTAAGGAAATGTCTTCATCTGTGGACTGGACATACAGCAGTATCGATCACAGTCCCGCAAACGAATCGGCTTATGCCCACAAGCAAATGCACTTTTCAACAAATTAACAGTCGATGAGCATCTTTGGCTTATTCATGGAATCAAAGGAGCCAGCGGTGATTATAAGGAGGAAGGGCAACAACTGCTTGACCAACTTAAGTTGGATGAGAAATTCAATGAGGTGCATTATCATTCACTTCCATCCAGAAGCTGTTAATGTCGCCGTTCTTCGGCTGTCCGTCCGCTATGAGTAATGTTTCCAGCTTGCAAAGAATCTCTCCGGTGGTCAGAAGCGTAAGCTTTCCGTGTCGATGGCGGTAATAGGTCACAGTTCCGTGGTGTTGCTGGATGAACCTACAGCTGGTATGGATCCAGGTGCTCGAAGAGATGTAGAGGCGCTTCTAGAAACGATCAAAGAGGATCGGTTGGTTTTCCATGAAATTGCGAGGTGCAGAGGAGACCTGTTAGCATTGAATGACATTCAGAACAGTTCTGCTTACTACACATTATATGGATGAAGCAGAACTGCTAGGAGACCGTATTGCAATCATGGTCCACGGTCGAGTGCACTGCTGTGGAACACTGCAGTTTTTGAAAAAGAGGTCAGAGCAAAGACTTGCTTCTGATCTGTGAATTTAACGTCTGTTGTGTTTATACAGATTTGGAACCGGCTATGTGATGACGGTCGTGGTCGATGAGAAAGCTAGCACTCAAGAAATCGCCGAAACATTAGCTGGGACCGCTGCAAGATACATTCCTGGAGCCGTAAAAGGCAAGGTGCACGGAAAACAGTTTGAAATCATTCTACCGAAGGGACAGCAAGAAAAGTGGGTTTTGGCAAGTTCCCCATGATCGTCTTTTTGTGCTTTTCTAAGTTTTCAGTGCTGTTAGCAGCCTGCAGTATTCTTATTACGCGTTTTATGTTATCGTGTTTGCAGTTTTCCACAATTATTCGAGTACTTGGAAAGGTCCAAGGATTCCTTGAAGATCACAAGTTTTGGTTTATCACTAAACACATTGGAACAGATTCGTTTTCAGTCACCTTTTGTTACCTCCTTACCAGGGATGGATCCCAAGAAGTATATATTTCAAATAAGGATTGTCCTGCAAGTGATGTTCTCGAGCAGTTTTTTGACTAGGATTCAGGTGATTTTAAGTGACCACCCGAAATAGGCGAACACGAAGGACATTCGTTTACGCGCCCCTCAGCGATGGTTTGGTGCAGTGGTAAGTGTGGCGCTTCATGTGCAAGCAACCAAGGCACATGTTTTTTTGAGAGTCGCATTTTCGCTCTATAAAGTTGCTTTATCGCTTTCCCCATTCTTTATGATGTTTCGAATGCTCTTTTCCTTCCTTGTATGTACACTTAAGAGTTGAGATTATGAGTTACAACGTAGGATGCGACGGGCTTAGACATCCTTCCGTGGGGGGACGGAACATTCACCCAGAACTGGGTGGTTTGCAGCGTCCATCCAGTTTTGGGTGAATGTACACATACCTTCTTCCGTTATAGAGCGATCGCGTCAGTCTGTCCGTCCGTATCTCTCTGTCTGTTTGCGTGTAAATTCATAACTCCTGTCCCCGTGGATCTAGTGCGTTCAAATTTGGTAGGAGCACAGGCGGCAGGATGGGAACATTTATGGTAGGTGGTAGGAAGACCGACGGGGAAATCGGTTCGGGATTGAAGGTATGTAGTTTTAGTTCTTCGGTGTATTTCATTCGATGAGATCGGATGGTAAAGTAGGGTAACAAAAAGTTAGTGGTAAGTCAGTGATAGGGACCGATTAAAGCTTTATTAATGTGTTGCTGTTATAGTATGACTGCTACACAGCAGAGTTTGTGAATTAATGGGAGATCACGGTTCCTCTTTGCTTTTATATTATTCGCTACAAAACTTATCCAACGGCTAATGATTTGAGAGCCTCTATTGATGATTTCGCTACAAAACTTATCTAACCACTAATAATTTTGGAGCCCTCTATTGAGATATATCCGTAGAGAAAAAGCTCCATCGATAACATCCACCTTTTCTTGCAGTCTGCTTCTCCTTGAGATCTAAAGAGTCACTAGGCTTTTTTTTAGGAGACTTTGCTCATAAAGTAGTGAGCACATCCAATTGTTAGTAGCGATAGAATGAACTCGTTTTACTTTCTTACGGAGTAAATTGTGTGAGCCAATCATTAAAGTAACTTCTATGTTTTCGACTACATAACCGCAGCACTGCGTATCCACATCAACTAATTGATTAACCCATTGCCGACCACGACGTTTTGCGGGAAAAGCGCCGCGAGGGACCTGCGCGCTTTTCGTCCACCCGCGACTGCAGCCCACATATGGACTTTATGGTCCAGCATGACCATATTTTGAAGTGTATAAGAGACAATTATAAGTTTTTAGGAAAGTTCGTTCAAATGGGTTTGGTAAGAATGCCCACATTGAGTGATTATTGATCTTTATTAAGATCGTCACCCGTTCTAGTGGTCATTCAATTATGAGTTCAATTATTACCAGAAATCGTTTCGCGGAACTTTTACTTGCGTTGTATTGGGAGCTTTGCGTTGGTCGATAACAGCGAAAATGCTGATGACTACAGTCTTTCAGAAATATCTCATTTTTGAAGTCGTTAAACGAACAAAGAATTCACCAGGGTAATGTACACCTCCGAAAAAACACCTTTAGAAATGTAAAATTAGAAGATTTTTTAGTAGCACGCCGTATGTAGTTTTATATAGGCCTGATGTAATGTTTTGAGAAGAAAAATTGTAAAAAGTTGGAAATATGGATGAATAAAACAAAAAAAATATAACTGCAGTTCACATGTGGACTGCACGGTCCCACGTGGCCGAAATAGTGCAGTCCACATATGGACTTCATGGTCGTCAATGGGTTAATCAATATGATGCGCGCGTTAAGTTGCATAGCCCAACTGGTCACATATAAAGCGCTCGCGTCTGTCTGTCTGTCTTTCTGTCTGTCTGTCTGTCTGTCTGTCTGTCTGTTTGCACAGGAATTCGACTTTGCAAAGAAATGTGCATAGGGCGAAAGAGGTTGTGAAGCGTGCACAGGAGTAGGTAGCGTTATGTGCAAAACTTCTAACTAGGTTTCATAACAGCCGAGACGCCGGGAAAAATGAACAAAAATGAAGGGTAGGCCAACAAGTGAAATTGGGGAAACTTATCGGTGGTGGGCGGAGCGTTCTTGCAGTGAGTGGTGCTTCAAACACAAGTTCATCAGTCGATTCAACAAAACCATTGGGCAAGAAAAAACTGAAACGAGTGAACAACGTTTATGCATGCTATGCGTACACAAACATATCGAAGCTCCACCTACGATGGGGGGCGCGCATTCAGTTATAGGTTCTTTTCAAGAAAAAAAAATTAATAATTCTGTTCGCAAACTTTTCAGAAAAAAGTGCTTGGAGGTAAGTGGCCAAGTTCCTGACGGGAGTGGATTTGTGGCACTGAGGCTAACCAGAGAGGGGTAGTCTACTCAATGTGGGACTTTGAATGAAGACCCAGTTAAATCGATAGAGTTTTGAATGCTGTTTACGAAAATGGAAACTAAAACTGCAAAATGGTTTTCCTTAAAAAGTTATGAGGGGTCGAATTTTGCTTGACAGTAGTATTAATTGGATTGCGAACTCGTCGCTCTACTGTCAAGCGCCCACGTGGCCTAGCGGTAGTGGTCTCGCTTCGTTGCCATAAAATGAGAGTTTGCTCCCTGACATCGACGGCATTTTTCCGAAATGTTTTTTCATTTTGTTAAAGGCTCTCTAACATTTTTCTGACATTTCTTTGAGTGAACGTCTTATTTCTGCTTTTATTTGCTCTCATCGCCTCTATCTAAGGAAAGTGGTTCTGCAAATTAATTGTATGACGCTTTTTTTTGTTATAAACTTCAAGGAACATTCAACAGAAACATACTAGAGATGTATAAGGTGCCTGCAGAAGACGACTTGAGCCGATTGACTGATCACCGGATGAAGAGAATCAGTATGTATAAGGCGTGCAGTTTGTGAACAAAATGTGTGCTTCACGCGTTTTCAAAAAGTTTTTCCATCATTGTTGAGTTTCTGCAGGCATCTTACACATCTCTAGCATTTTTCCTGTTGAAAGAGACCACCAATAGGGCACGTGGGCGCTTGATAGTGAAGTGACGAGTTCGCATATCCAATTAATACTACTGTCAAGCAAAATTCGAGCCCTCATAACTTTTTAAAGTAAACCATTTTGCAGTTTAATTTCCATTTTCGTAAACAGCATTCAAAACCCTATCGATTTATCCGGGTCTCCATACAAAGTCCCACATTAAGTAGACTACCCTTCTTTGGTAAGATCAAAAATACATAGCTCTATTCAACTACGTTCTAGAACGCCGGGAAAAAGGTTACAGGTGTTGAAAGGACTGTGGCCAAATCCCCGAAGTAAGCAGGGTTCGTACGAGTACTAAAGTGGGCGGTACTATGATCAGAACTTTAACTCTATTTAAAAACGTTCTAGAACGCGTGAACTAGTGGTTTTAGGTAATGCAAGGAATGCATTCTGCGCGGTGTTCTCCTCGAAGGCGTGAAAGCCATTCTATGTTGATTTGCCCTCCTTGGGGGCCGCTTGATGCCTGGGGTGGTTCGCGTCCTGTCAGAACCACCGAACCAAGGTCACAGACGATAACTTTCATATCTTCATAAGCAGATCTAATAACTTGGCGCAAGTATTTGAAACAAAGAGTAGAACAATCGTAATAAAGTCATTTCCTTACAATTACTCACTAGACCGACTTTGTAGGCCAGTCGAATTCACCAAGATGTGCTTGAAAAGCAAATTTATGTTGGTGAGTGCAATCTAATTGAAGTGCTTGCTCGTAACGAACGTTAAAGTTTCTCTTGCTCCCGAATAAAATGAATTTCTGTTCTGGAATCTGGCCAGTCTGGTATTTTTTTCATGAAGGCGAGGTTTGGAAACATACAGTGGCGCTCAAAAGACTTCGGCCAAAGCATTCTTCAATAGTACTTTTCAATCGTAACTCCTTCCCTACTTGATGTAATCATACGAAATTTCAATATGTGTAGCACGGGTGTGTTGTGATTATTTACCACTATCAGCCTGCAATCTAATCATGTTCCAGATATCTCGAAGGGCTTGAACTCAAAATATAATAAATCGGAGATACGAGTGATGGCCCCATTGGAATTTCTTTCCTTCTTGCCAGGTCTAAAATGTACGAGCGCTAATGCCGAACACAGAAGAGAACAAAGACACGCATAAGGTGCGAATTACTGCAGACGTCAGTAACTTTGCTTTTAGCGAAATCTGCTACCGCAACAAGCACTTCGCTCTAGTTATGTGGATATCGCTGCTTCACAGTCAGAGGTCCGGGAACTTCTCCCCTAACACGGCGTCGCACACGCCGCACCCGCCGCCTATCGCAGGATTGCGATGGAAGATTGGAGCACGCGATTTGTGAGGTAGAGAGTCCTTTAATTATTTGAATTGGCTGGCCGCTCTATTCAATTCCAATGCGGTCTTGATTGTCGTTTATATAGGAGGAGTCATTTTAATTAATCAAGTCTAATAAACATGAAAACTAAAAAGAAACAGAAGAAAAAACGATCAAATCCAATGAAAAAGCAAGCCAATCATCGAAAAATATCGCGTCCTATCGATTGGCGAGAGGCGGGTTGAGTACGGTAATTGCAGTGACATTTGCCGCATACCGCAAGGGAGAATGCGGGAGAAGTTCCGTTACCCACAGTCAAGTAGTGTTGGATACTGTGAAATAAGCTTCAGTTAAACATATAAAATTTTGCGCAATTTGCTCCACTAAGAAAAAAGCTATGCACGAANAGCGTGAGAACGTCTGGCCGTAGACCTTCGAACGCTACTGTAGGGTAAAGGCACAGTTCACGATAATTCAATGGCTTTCCCGCCTCTCGATCGGTCACGTCATCACGTCAGACGAGTGTCGAGACAATACAGATTGCAACTATTCGTTCTAGGACCTACACACAATCAGCTGGTCGCCGAGTGATGAGGTGCTGTTTTTCTCCCATTCTTTTTCCTCTGTTATTCTTTTTGCTGCCGCGGTCCCTTATTCAATTTCCTACTCTTAGAGGTTGAAAAAGGTGAGCTACTTTTGCTGTTACTAGGGTTTTTTTTTGTTTACTTATGCTTATAAGTGAATGAATTTGCTTACCATAATCTGTTAATCGTACCAGGGCCCACACGTACCCAGTGAGCCACATTGTACAGCTCGTTCAAACGCTCCACTCTTCTTCATTTTTCTGGTCTCATTCTCGTCCAGCCCCCTTTTGAACGGTTTTTCGAAGCCTTTTTTCGCTTTGGAAACACCGAATCACGCAGTTTCTTCATCTTCATCGCGCTAGTTTCGACCTTATCTTCCATTTTTCATCGTAATCTGGATAACCCAAAATTATCGTGAACTGTGCCTTCAATGCAGAATATTCTGCAAAAGGCTGGGTCAGCACGATCAGCACCTGACCCAACAATAAGTGGCCAACGGCGGAAAGGCAAGACATAGCTGTGTGAGAGCGGCTTTTAGCAGAGACTGACTGCTCGACTCCTTCTGCTCTCTTCGACTTTCTTGAGGCTGAAAATTGCAGTTTGTGCCTTTCCTCAAAAAATTGCCCAGAGGAACTGATGTTCATGGGTAAGCAATGAGTTAGTAGTGATATTGTACGGTCCGAATCACCCCAGACATAAAAATGGCCGTTGAAGGTGGTGAGTCGACATGCAAAGGTTCTATCGCTCCTGAGGGGAACGGGCCGCAACGTGCAAAAACCACATCCCTCACAACGCCTGGTTCATGGTCTCATGCCTGTAAAGCGTCACACCTACCACTGCTCTTAATCACCGCTTTCAGCGCTGTTGCTTCCATGTCTTAAGTGCTCGTTTGCATTGAGCACATACCCGAGACCAACTTCATAACCTCGTTCCGAGAATCGTTTGGCAAATTTGGAAAACCGAGTCGAAATCAGGGGCCGGAGATACGTATAGCAGTATAGGTCTCATTCCTACTGACCGCTTCGATTTAGGACCCTTCCCTTGTAGGATGGGAACATCATAGCCTTGTACAAAAACTTTTTAGAACACGGGAAAAAGTGGTTGCAGGAGTTGGAAGAAAAAAAATGCACGACTCTGTACCAAGTCGTCCTCAATGCCCCAAAATTGTTCTATTCTTCATGAAATCATCAACACA